CTTCTGCATTCTGTTTGTGTTGCTCTGCAATAAATGCTAGCTGGCAGAGGGGTTTTATGTCCCTCTGAGTCGAGTTTCTTCACTGGTGTTTTGTTTGTTTTGAACTCTACCTTAATGTACACATAGCTAAAACTAGTAAAGTCTAGATTGGATACGTGGCCGGCCGGAAGTGCGATATGGCGTCAATATAGCAGCATTTTTTTATGACACTGTATAACAATAATTAATGTTTTACAGTACTGTGATGGTTGGGGTGAATGTTAATAAAATACAATAAATGGGAAATTTAATAAATAATAACTTCCATCCTCAACCTAGCAATAACCGCTAAAACCAGCTTATTCAGAGGCGGGGACCAGCAGACGTACAACAACTTTAATCATAAGACAAACACAAAACAGTGTCCCCTGGACTCGACACTTGCAAACAATCCCTCCTATGGATTCGCGTGGCTCTCAGTTTCGCCCGTAATGGTCACAGCTACCAAGCCAACCAATCACAGAGTTTGCGCTACGCGTCGTTACGACATATAATTACATTTTTTTAAAGGATGTGGGTCAGTGTCGGCGTCAGCCATAGCAAGGGCTATGTAACCGTGTGAAGGCTGCACCGGACTATATGTGTGCACTTGACGCAGAAGTATAAATCAGCCTTTACACAAAACATAGCTTTAGGTTCCAATAACATATTATAATATCTGATTACACTAAAAATAAATGCTAAATTACTAAAGTGATGCTTTTCCTAAGGGTCTTCTTTTTCAATGCCAACATATAAACATTATTAAAGGGCCATGAAACCCCCTTGTTTCAGCAGGGTGTTTTCACACCTCTACTTTGGAAAAAGTCAGAAAAGTGGGCGTGTCTAGCACTGTTTAGGGGGGAGTGTCGGAGGAAGAAAAGAGGAATTGTGTGGGAGTGTCTTTTTGGGCACGCGCGAGTTTCAGAGTCAAAACACACACACACACACACACACACACATAGGGGAGAAAGGGACTGTGTTTACATGGACATCTGTAGTCGAATTATTTGCCAAATTATTAAATGGTGGACTTTAACTGCAGTTTGGCTCTTTCATTCAGGGAATTCATTCACGTCCCTCGCGACAAACGAGATATTTGATTCGAGGATCTGCTCTAAGTGTGTATTTTTCATGCAATGTTTGATACCGCATGGCGAATGAGGAAAAAAAACTCAGCATTTCCCGGAAACTCAGATGCACACGGCAGGTAGCGTCAGAAAGCCGCGTGTGTTATTCCGGTCACAAAATGCGGTGAAAATCCTACACGAGGTTAAAGTTTGGTTGGAGTGCTAACATGTTTATACTTGTTGCAATAGTTTGTTCGATACGAAACAAAGAGCACTGGTCGCTCACTTACCAAATCTGCAGAGACAGGACAATCACCAGCAACTAGAGCCGCGTCTTTATTAAGAGGAGACTACAAGCGAATCCGGATCTCAGCGTTTGCAGATGAGAACAGCCCTCAGGTAAACAATGTTCCTCCTTAGACACGCAAGTTATTGTTGTCGAGCGTCGCGTACACTGTAATCAACACGTGTGCAACACGTAAAATGAAAACAAAACTAAACTACAGCTAAAAAAGCAACACTTCACGCTTGTTTTGCCAATACAACGTGGCGTCTCTGTCGTCTAAACACTATGACAGTAATGAATATTAATGAAGTTGCACAATAGAGCGCACTGATTGGTTTGAACCAAGTCTTACTCATGCATTAATGCATGAATAAGGCACACTCTGGCACAGACGTCCAGTCTGCACGCTGGAATACATGCTATTATCTCATGGCCGTGACGCAGCTTCAAAAATTAGTTTCAAACCGGAAGTATGAATTTGCTTGAAATAACGCAAAAACAAACAGTTTACACTTTGTAGTGAAATATAGGTGTCCTAATAGTGTTTTTAGCAGTGTGGGACACGTATACGACTGTCAACAGCTCTAAAAATGTGTTTTGGTGTTTCGTGACCCTGTAAATCAAGAGAAAATGTACATGGGGAAGGAAGTCTTGTTTTCTAAAATTGCTCAAAATGGAGTGGATTTAATTAAATCAAGAAATAACACCGTAATATCTATCACACTGAAAATTGATTCACTAGATTTACTACATGTTTTTAAAGGTAAGCGGTTGCAAACCGTAGGGTACCATAGGGTATGGGTTATGGGTATGGGCTGTTTTGAAACAAACTAATTCAATTCAGTCATGTTCAACCTAATTAGTTTTTTCAATTCAGCCCTTATAAATTGTTTGCAACCACTTACCTTTAAAAAGATGTAGTAAATCCAATGAATCTGTTTTTTCAGTGCAGAAAAAAATCAATTTACATGCAAACTTTACGGTATGTGGATTGTGTTGAAGGCATGATTCAGTGTTGAATCTTGCAAGTCAAGAGTTAGAAATAACCTGCTCTATATCATGACTAAGCAAGCAGTCACGATGGGGAAATCTGAGAAAGTACGTTACAGGTGGCACGTCTCTCTCTCACGCTCACTGTGCCAAATGCAGACAGTCAAGTGACACACACTATCTCATGGAGAACTACACGTCACTCAGACACACTTGTGTGGCAAGCTGCTTTTACATTTACTCTTAAAAACTAACAAACACCATGGGGAAAATGCTACAAGTGTTTATTAACCAATTATGTTAGTAACAGCTCTAGTAGCTTGTATACTTTAAAAAATGCTGGGTTGTCATAATCCACTGTAAGGTCTAATATGTACAAACACAACGTTGGGTTAATTTTGTCAATTAAATTTAAATGATACCTTTCAACCCAACTTTGGTTATGACAACAACCCAGCTTGTTTTAGGTATGTGCATTCAGTTTCACTATACTAAACATTTTTAAAGTACAAGAACAAACTTTTGTCTTTCTTTTTCAAAACATCATATTATTTTAATGTGTTATTGGTGTTATTTATTTGTGTAATTAAAGGTTTTTACTTGTGTATGGTTTATATTTTAGTAGTCATTCTTTGGAAACTAATACTTATTCCATTAGTATTTATTATATAATAACTACATATTTTAGTTAATAGCACATCTATTTAGCTTCGGCTGATGCTTCCCTGTATGAAAATTAAATAACATTTTGGATTATTACAATTAAAAATAATTAATACACACATGCTGAATGCTACTAATATAGTTTAATAAATAAAATTTGAAATAGCTAGGCACACATTTATTTATGTAGAAGGCCTACTTAATAACCTGAGTGTTAATTTTGTCTTCGTATAAGACTGCTGGCAAAACTTTACAGTTAGGTTTCCTGTTTAAAACTGTTATTGTAAACTAACAAGGAACGGTAGGCTAACTAAGATTATTTACAAGCAATTGAAAACCTGTGGTTTCCCAGTACTGGGTTGCAGCTGGAAGTGCATCCTCTGTGTAAAACATATGCTGGATAAGTTGGCAGTTCATTTTGCTGTGGCGACCTCTGATAAATAAAGGGACTAACCCGAAGGAAATGAATGAATAAATAAAAATATGTAGCATTAGTATATGTGCTAAATGCTAACAATATGTTTGCCCCAATGGTTTGCCTTAATTAATGTCAAAATCATTTGCCAGAAACATATTCACTTAAACTTAGTCGATTAAGTATTTCTAGTAAAACATTACAATCTACTTTGATTTGTTGATATTACTGTTACTATTAACAATGACAAATACATTAGCATTTATTAAATCTAAATCAAAGCGGGCTAATTCCTTTTTATATTGCTAAAATAAAAGCTATAGGATACTAGTTTGCTTTAAGTAATGCCCTACCATAAACAAACTTGAACTTAGCCAATAGCTATATCTTATTTCTGTTTATTTAACCTAACCTAAACTAGCCAACTGGTTAAGCTTTACAAGACTTGTTAACATTAGTTACCACAAGCTAACAACGAGTGACTAATTAGCTTAAAAACAGTCATTATTACGTTTATGTTCAGGCAACTGAAACAACCGACGAGCACATATAAGAAGGTTAGAGGCTACTAGCGATGTTGCATTGTTAAAACATCTTGCCATAAGCATAAACTTTAACTCCTGAATTGTGTTTACATTAGTAACAGTTAGCTAACAGTGAACAATACATCTGCAGCAGTTCTAGCATCATTTGAGCATCAGCTATGTCTGAATTCTGTTTATTTAAAACTAGCCAACTGGTTAAACTTTACAAGATTTGTTTACATTATAGTTACCACAAGCTAACAATTACAACAGTTAATTAGCTGAAAAACAGTCATTATTTTTTAAGCCTAAAATAACTAAAGAGTACAAGTAGGTTAGAGGCTGCTATGTTAAATTGTTAAAACAGCTTGCCATGAGCATAAACTTTAACTCCTTAATTGTGTTTACATTAGTTACAGTTAGCTAACAGTGAACTGAACCCATTTATCATGTTAGATAGCTGCAATGCTAATTTGCGTAAAGTAATGAATGTTGCAAAAACTTTAGCATAAACTTATTAACCTACATGTATTTTCTGATTTATTTAGCCTAAGCTACATTTTTATAAGATTTCCAGGTAGTAAGATTTACATTAATTACTATAAACCAACAGAACTGACAAAACTTGATTTAACATTAACTCAACAATTAACGTTAACTGTCACTTAACGTTAGGCCAATAACATTGTTGTTTTTGCTAACTTAAACAGTAATAATTTTAAATCTTTAAAGTTCTGTCGGTTATGTTTATGAACACATTTCACAGGCACATAACGAATATTCAATAAAAGCACTTAAATATGTATTTTCAATTTACTGTAAGTCATTAACGGTTAAAATAAACGAAATAAACGTTAAGTTTTAGCGCTAATATTCAGACTAATATTAAACGCGAGTTATAAACGAAAACCCCCAAACCTAAGAACAGAATATTCAACACGGATGATATGGATGAATAATTTTATGAACAGTATTTATCGCTGTTTGATGATGATAAATGATGACGCGGGTGATGATGCGCGAGCGTCTCTCACCTGTGGCGCAGCGGCAGCGCGAGTGTTTGCAGAGGCAGCAGAAACACGCAGACCAGCAGCACAGACTTCATGACAGGAGGCTGATTATCCTCCACTGATGGAGAGATGATGATGATGATCCTCAGCCCAGACTGCTTTACTCACACACTTCGTCAGATGTGAAGAGTTATTATCACGAGAAGTCACTTTTAAAACTGCTTACGTTGAAAAACGCTCTAATGCACAGATGATAACGAGGCATCCCATTCATAATTTCCCAATAGCAAACAGAACAGTGTGTAGGCTGAAATAATAGATTTCGTTATGGACTTTGATTTATGGATAAACTCAACCTCTGTCTTTCTCTCAGGACTGACTCTGAAGTCTCGAGCTGATGCTTAAATACTGAGAGGGAGGAGACACGGATGATTGACACTCCACAGAACCGATGAGAGGTATTAATAAGGTATTGTTAGATCGTAAATATTATTTCATATAATAGTTATTAATTAAATAATTATGTCAAATATATATTTAATTATTGATTTTTTTTTGCTGGCTTTTGAGATCATTTGTCTTTTAGGAGGTTTATTATTATTTATTTTCATTTTATATATTTGTGACCCAGAACAGGTCTGTAGCCAGCCTATTAAAAGGGGAGGTTCTTTTTTTTCTCAAAAAGTGGACCTTTTTGCAGATATTCGAGGTTCAAACACTGCATTTTAGTGACATTTTCTGTGCTGGATTAGCTTGTCGGATGGTTATCATTACCACATGTTTTGATGCAACAAAAATCCTTCTTACATTTTTGTCAAAGTGTTTATCATACTTTTTTTATTTACAAAACAATGTTTATTTACAATGTGTTACAGCTTTATATGTAATGTAATGACTTTAGAAATTTAAAGATAAGAAAAATACTTATTTAAAATGCTAATTTATTATCGTCCATCATAAACAAACAAACAACAAAAAAATTAAAAGTCTGTTTTGATGCAACAAATATATTTCAAGAGTTCACACTTAGCTGATGATCTGTCAGAAGCTTGTTTGGCATGCTGTCCCAGGGGAGAGCCCCGAGCTCAAGGGATCCTCGAGCCTGGGTTGTCCCCCGTTCGCAGAGCGAGAGGGGAGCCCGTGCTCAGTGGATCTCAGAACTCCCCGGCTGCGGTAGCTGGGAACACATGAGAAAAGGGGGTTAGACAAGTGCTTGATTGCTATGCATGTTGTATATCTTTGGATGGTGGAAGGAAACCGGAAAACCTGAGGAAAACCCACGTGGACACGGGGAGAATATACAAACTCCTCACAGAAACGCCTGGACCAGGACCAGCTGTGTTCTTGCTGTGGGGCTCACAGTGCTAACCACTGGGCCGCCGGGCCGCCCATTTAATGGTAAAGGAGGAGAATAGTGGAGAAAGGGGGGTTTCTTCCAAACGAAGATAAAATGGACTGAAAACTGTGATTGTTTATAGTAGCTTAGGGCTCATATGATTGGAAGATAGTGATTAGCTAATACGAGACCGGCCGTGATAAATCATAAGCACGTGATCCTCTCGAGATTAGTTTATAAATAAACCTCACTTCCCACATTTTTCTTTGTGCAAAATTTACAAAAAATGTGTTCATTTAATGTGCCTTCTTTTATAGGTTATTTTCACTATTTTTGATGGCATACTGTCAAAAATGGGACAAATTAGCTCATATGGGGGCTAAATTCTGGACTTTGCCAGAAGGAAGGTGAGTCTTTAGAACCATCTGAACCACCCCTGGCTACGGACCTGCTGGACCATGTAATTGTTTTTTTTTTCTTATTGAAATTTAAACATAATATCAGGCCCGTAGCCAGCCTATAAAAAGGGGTGGTTGTTTTACTGCTCAAAAAGTAGATTTTTTTGCAGTTATTCGCTTCATTTATTCATTCATTCATTTTCTTTTTGGCTTAGTCCCTTTATTAATCTGGACTTGCCACAGCGGAATGAACCGCCAACTTATCCAGCATATGTTTTAAGCAGCAGATGCCCTTCCAGCTGCAACTCATAACTGGAAAACACCCACTCATTCACACTCATACACTACGGACAATTTTAGCTTACCCAATTCACCTGTACCGCATGTCTTTGGGCTTGTGGGGGAAACCGGAGCACCTGGAGGAAACCCAAACAAACGTGGGAAGAACATACAAACTGCACACAGAAACGCCAACTGACCCAGCCGAGGCTCAAACCAGCAACCTTCTTGCTGTGAGGCGACAGCACTACCTGCACCACCGCGTCACCCTATTCTCCTCATTTTATATTAAATTATAATGTTCAAGCACTGTATTTTAGTGACATTATCAGCTCTATTTCTTTGGATTAGCTTGGATGGTTATTATTACCACACTTTTTGATGCAACAAATATATTTCCTACATTTTTTTCAAAGTACTTATCATACTATTCTTTGTTTACAAAAACTGTGTTTATTTACAAATGTGCATTACATTTATACCTTATTACAGTTTAATAAATAATGTAATGAGATTAGAATTAAAAATGACGTTTTATGAACAAAAAAATATGAAAATTTTTTTTTTGAAATGCTTATTTATTATCATCCATCTTTAAAAACAAACAATAAGGAATCTGTCAGAACTTAGCCTATAGGCAAATAACAAACTGGCCAGCTAATTTCCATGTGCAAAGTTTGTCCATTTATATAATAATTAATAATTAGAATTGTCTTTTCAATCGGTTATTTTCACAATTTGTGATGGCATCAAAAATCTGACAAATGAGCTTGTGTATGGGCCAAATTCTGGATTTTGTCAGTAAGGGCAGGGGCGCCTCCAAGGGGTGGCCAGGGGTGGCCATTAAAAATTATTGTTGGTGTTACTGACGTAGCTCCCCCCCTCTGGTTCAATGCTGGTGAAAGCAAACTGACGCATGCGCGCGGAAAACCATTCCCGCGCGCCTCACGCACTCCTGTGTGAATCCCGGTTGGTTGTTTGCATTCACGCCGACATAATAGGCACCGCTCATGCGCCGTGAAACCGGAGTAACAGCCTTTTGTGCAGAGGTGTCGGCACGCAGCGAGTTTTGAAAGTCGTTTAAAGTTTATATAATATGATGATGATGATGATGATGATGATGATGATGATGATGTTACTGAGCATGCCTTTAAAGCAGAAAGGAGGGATAATGAGTCAGGGAGGTAAGACTTCATAACATGATTTCTCAGCCGTGATCTGGTCTAAGACCACAGATAATTCTATAATACATTTTTTGTATTCTTTAGAATTGTCATAATTAATTTTCATGCAAAAGGTTTCTTAAGTGATGTTGGCATATCACTCCAGTTGTTGTTTTCCAGTAATATTTAGGACTGATTTCTGTTATTTATTTAGAATAATAATTGTATATTAATATTAATTGTATTTATTTAGAATAAATCTAAATAAATTGTTATATTTATTGAATAACAAATCTAACAATTCAAGAGAGGTGGGGGTGTATAGGGTGGTTCGCCCAGGGTGTCATTTAAACTAGAACCACCACTACTACCCTCCCCGATCGTCCTTGACAGCATGCACACACCTTCAATAGACAGCAATGGCTATTTAATATTTACCTTAAGCTACAGTATATCAATAGAAGAAGCTGCATTAATAAAATGGTTCAAAAAGCAATATGGATAAATAATATTATTAGGTATAGTGAGTGTGTATAGTAATGCCTTATGCTCAGTTTGTTCATTTGTTTGGGTAATTAATAAACTCATTATTCTTTCATTCATTTTCTTATCGGCTTAGTCGCTTTATTAATCCAGTGTCACCACAGCAGAATGAACCGCCAACTTATCTAGCACATTTTTACACAGCGGATGCCCTTCCAGCTGCAACCCATCACTGGGAATAATAAACTCATTAATCTTCATTAATTTTAGACATGGCATATCTCGTATGATGTACAATAAAGGCACGTAAAAAAAGAAGTTATTTATACAGTATATGAAAAGTGTTTTTAAAATAAACATAGATTTTTATTTGGTTTGCACATGTACTTGCTGAATTATTTCAAAGAATAAATTGCAATATTTCAAGTAGTATTAATTAAATTAATAAAAACTACATTATTTCATTTACCAGAAACAAAAATATATCATTACACTGAATTCATTATTTTTTTTGTGTGCCACCCCAAGATTTGGTGCGGCCTCTTCTGGCCACCCCTAAGAAAATTTTCTGGGGGCGCCACTGAGTAAGGGGGAGGGTCTTTCAATCCCTCGAACCCCACCTAGCTACGGGCATGAAAATGAAAGCTAAATAAATAAGATTTTCCATGAACAGGACAATATTGAGCTGCGTTATGACTGATATTGAAAATCTGGGTTTAAAACAAATCTGAATATTGAGAATTTTTCCTTTAAAGTGCTCTAAATGAAATGCTTTGCAATGCACATTGCTAATTAAAATGGAGTTTTGATATAGGTACAGTAGGAAATTTACAATAGGGACAACAAAGTGCCTCCTTGGTTAGCATTGTTGCCTCACAGCAAGAAGGTCGCCGGATCTTCTGTGTGGAGTTTGTATGTTCTCCCCGTTTTCTCGTGGGTTTCCTCCGGGTGCTCCGGTTTCCCTCACCGTCCAAAGACATGCGCTATAGGTGAATTGAATAAATTAAATTGACTGTAGTGTGTGAATGATTGTGCATGGGTGTTTACCAGTACTGGGTCACAGCTGGAAGTGCATCCACCATGTAAAACATATGCTGGATAAGTTGGCGGTTCACTGGTAACCCCTGATGAATAAAGGGACTAAGCTGAAGGAAAATGAATGAATGAGTTTACAATATATCTTCATGGAACCTGATTTTTACATAATATTCCAATGATGGCTTTTGGCAAAAGAGAGAAATCAATCATTCTGAACCTTTTGGTTATTGCCCAAAATTATACCTGCATAACATAAGACAAGTAATATGTAAGGTAAATACAAATGTAAAGCTAGGAAAATACTCTTATTTTCAAGTGTAAACTGTCCGGTGTGACGCAGGGGTTTCATTTAAAGGTCAGAGACAATAAAAGAAGTGTGTGTTTGGTTTTGTGGGGCTCACTGTGTCCTGTGGCCTTTTAAATAGAGCATTAACAACAGCTGAGTTAATGTTAATAAGCATCCGTCACAGATGAGACTCAATCTATACAGTAGATCCACTGTTCAAAGTCATTTTTTATAGTTATACTTTGACCTTCATGTGGTTTTCCAGAGGTAAGCAGTTGTCTGTATTGTATAACAGATTGTGTTTTGGTTTGATTGGGGTTTTATAGCGAAGTAGCATAAAGTTCAAGTGTGTTTTTGTGTCAGTGTGTTCAGAGGTACACACGTGTTTGTATTTTTAAAATATCATC